GAGGCAATTTCTTGACAGCCAAATGCCAAGACAAAGAGAAGTGAGTTGCACATTGCACTCATATGCATTTCATTTTGGTTTACTCAGTATTTTAACTGTTATTTGTTTGAGAGGCAAAGGAGGGAATGGGAGACAGAGACTGAGAAGGAGAGGGAAAGAGCACACTCCCATCTGCTATTCAGTCCCCAAATGCCCACAATGGTCAGGACTGTGTCAGGGCTGGAGCCAGGAGCTCAGAACTCAATCCAGGTTTCTCACGTGAGTGGTAGGGACCCAACTGCATGAGCCATCATCTGCAGCTCCCAGAGACTGCATTAGCTCAGGCACTCTGATGAGGGTGTGGACTATACTAAGCAGTGTTTTCACCACTGTGCTAAATGCCTGCCCCTCAATCAGTAATTCTTTTAAGTGATTATGTATTTATTACCAACATTTAGATTTCATTTACAACACAGGATTTTGGTTACCTTGAAATATTGGTAAAAATGGCAACTTGCAGTAAAGAATTCCCCATGGAAAGCTGCATTGACGGTAACTAGGGAATATCACTTTAACTCACAGTTAGAATCACCACTACTCTCTATCGTCCGCCTGGCTTGGCGGCCGGATGTCCACAATCTTTTCTTGTTGCCCTGTGTTTTTCCATCCCCTTACCCCCGATAGAGAAATGTTTTGCTTTACCAAACAAGAAAATATAAATCAAAGGGCAAAACAACTGAGTTTCCAGACACAATCTGTTTGTTGCCATTACTTATTCAGCCCTTGATAATAAATGAATATTTGATCCTTAAACTAAATATTTAAGAAAATTCAGCATACAACCTACAGCAAAAAAAAAAAGGGGGGGGGGGAGACAACTATTTACCACTGCAATGACTGTGTAACTAAATGTCCAGTGGCAAAAAATAGTACTCCACGCACTTTGTACACCTACCACTGTGCTCAGTACTTTAACTCCCACAGTTATCACAAGGACTGAGGACCTGGGTCACAGCGTCAGTTTAAACTACTTGTCTACAGTTTAACGCCTGGTGAGGGAACGACACCTGCTCTGTAGTCTTGGATACCGCTGACCAGTTTCCCTCCTTCCCAAGATCACTAAGAAAACAGGACAGTCAGGTCTAACGCCCACACTTCCCAACAAGCAGGACGTCCCCGCAAGTCCAGCTGTCACCTTGTTTTGCGGATCCGACTTTTGATATCTGATGAACATAAGCAAGTGTGAGCGCTCTGTGAGGAGGCTGGGCCTGGGCAGACAGCCCAGTTCCCTCCTGGTGAAGTTCTCTGACAGGTAGAATTTCCCCACACCTGCTTTGCTTTCTCTGGTCTCCTCTTACACCCTATCCAAACGGCCTGGGAATGGAACACACATTCTCCATGTCATGAGCTGTGACCCTTTCTTATAGAAACGGGGGTCCAGGCTCACCCATCACCTGGGGCTGAGAAGCCTTTGCTGGACCCACGCTTGAAGGGACTGGCAACGGGGATGCTGGAGTGGAGAGCTGCATGTCACATTGGACGATCTCAACATGTAATGACGCTGGTAATTCAGATTTTCGCTGAAGCAAACTTCTGTGGTTCATGGGCACGAATTCCAGAGTCAATGAGACACACTCACTGGCTACTTAACATTCTCATTGCACTGTGACCTTTCTGGTCCTGACCTAGCCTCTCTCACCATACTATCCTCTCTTACTATAACAAATCCTCACCATAACAAATCCTCTTCTTAAGAGCCTCAGGCCGGCGCCGCGGCTCACTAGGCTAATCCTCCGCCTTGCGGCGCCGGCACCCCGGGTTCTAGTCCCGGTTGGGGCGCCGGATTCTGTCCCGGTTACCCCTCTTCCAGGCCAGCTCTCTGCTATGGCCCAGGAGTGCAGTGGAGGATGGCCCAAGTGCTTGGGCCCTGCACCCGCATGGGAGACCAGGAGAAGCACCTGGCTCCTGCCATCGGATCAGTGCTGTGCGCCGGCTGCAGCGCGCCGGCCACGGCGGCCATTGGAGGGTGAACCAACGGCAAAGGAAGACCTTTCTCTCTGTCTCTCTCTCTCACTGTCCACTCTGCCTGTCCAAAAAAAAAAAAGCCTCAAAGGACTGTATATATTCTGTCATATTGTATTACAATATATGCGAGACTTTATTTGTTATGGGGATCCCCGTAAGTTAAAACTTGGAAAAGCTCTGAGAATGACTCTCCTTCGAATATCAAAGACCTCCACAATTTCTCCTATAGAAGTCACTGATTTGAAATTTTAAAAATCAGTATTATTGTCACTGTCCACCCACACTGGAGATCTCAGAGTGCCACTGCTGAGGTCTCTGGATGAGACAGCCCACATGATTCATTCCTGGGAAACAGCACTGCATGGCTATGGAGTGTTCTTTCTTTAATTACATAATTATATATGTGGGGCCAGTGCTGTGGCATAGTGGGTAAAGCCGTCAACTGCCGTGTCAGCATCCCAAAGGGGCGCTGGTTCGAGTCCCGGCTGCTCCACTTCTGATCCAGCTCTCTGCCATGGCCTGTGAAGGCAGTAGAAGATGGCCCATGTCCTTGGGAGACCTGGAAGAAGTACCTGGCTCCTGGCTTCAGAACTGCACTGTTCTGGCTGTTGCGGCCACTTGGGGAGTGAAGCAGTGGATGGAAGACCTCTCTCTCTGTCTCTCTGCTTCTGCCTCTCTGTAACTCTGCCTTTCAAATAAATAAATCTTTGGAAAAAAAATTATATATGTGTATGTGCTTTTAAATTTGATACACGTGGCCGGCGCCACGGCTCACTAGACTAATCCTCCACCTTGTGGCGCCGGCACACCAGGTTCTAGTCCCGGTCTGGGCACTGGATTCTGTCCCGGTTGCCCCTCTTCCAGGCCAGCTCTCTGCTGTGGTCAGGGAGTGCAGTGGAGGATGGCCCAAGTGCTTGGGCCCTGCACCCCATGGGAGACCAGGATAAGTGGTGCGCCGGCCGCAGCGCGCCGGCCGTGGTGGCCTTTGGAGGGTGAACCAACGGCAAAGGAAGACCTTTCTCTCTGTCTCTCTCTCTCTCACTGTCCACTCTGCCTGTCAAAAAAAAAATTTGATACACAGTAACCATATATTTTTCAGGTTAAGTGTGGCCTTTCAACACATGTATACAATATGGCATGATCAGGTCAGGATAACTGGAATATTTATTATTATATATAAAAATAGTATATATATGTATATAATTTTCTTATATTGGGAATGTTAAAAATCCTCCCTATTAGCCTTTCTGGACAGTCAGTTAGTTGCTGTTGGCCATAGCTACCCTCCTGCACTACAGGGGATTAGGGGCGACTCCTCCTGTCCAGAAGCTGCACCCCTGTGTCCACTTGCCAACCTCTCTCCAGCCCCGTCTACCCCATGCTGTCCCAGGCTCTGACACCCACTGTTCTATTTTCTACTGCTTTGAGATCAACTTGAGGCTCCTGGCTTTAGTGGATCCAAGCCTCACCATTTTAGGAATGCGAGGTGTGAACCAGCAGATGGGAGCTCTCACTCTAATTTTTTTTTAAGTTCACAGAAAAATGAAATTAAAAGATGGGCTTACTTTGGTGTCAAAAGTGGTTGGCTCTGAAACTACTGAACATAAAATTGACCCTTGACTTTAATTCTTCTGCTTAATTCTTTAAGTATTTCATCTGCCACGTACAACTGAGATTAAAAATGGAAACTCCATATATTTTCCATTTGACAGTAATCAAATTAAATTAGTTTTGAAAATACAAATCAAAGAAAGATATCTTCCAGTCTCAACTCATATGATAACTTAGCTGAAACCATGCTGTGCATCTGTTTATAATGTAAATTTTTTTTTTTTTTTAACAGGCAGAGTGGACAGCGAGAGAGAGACAGAGAGAAAGGTCTTCCTTTGCCGTTGGTTCACCTTCCAATGGCCGCCGCAAGTGGCACACCACACTGATCCGAAGCCAGGTGCTTATCCTGGTCTCCCATGCAGGTGCAGGGCCCAAGCACTTGGGCCATCCTCCACTGCACTCCCTGGCCACAGCAGAGAGCTGGACTGGAAGAGGGGCAACCGGGACAGAATCCGGCACCCTGACTGGGACTAGAACCTGGTGTGCCGGCACCGATAGGTGGAGGATTAGCCTATTGAGCCGAGGCACCGGCTTATAATGTAAATTTTTTTAATTCATTAATGAATGCTTCCTGGCCTTGGTACTGTCCATTTCAATGGGTATAAAACTTTATTGCACTACATTCTTTTAAATTTTGGGGACAATTAATTATGAGGGTACACCAAACATTTATGGAAAATGGGCATTCTCTTTTAATTCCATTTTCACAAACTTTTGGAAACCATCTCAGATCTGATTACCATAGCAGATTATTCATCTTGAGAAGGGCGAGAGAATAAAAATGGGTACTTTTAATAACTTCTCATATATACGTGAACTCTCTCTACGAGAGCATCGCCTTGAAGGTGTCTATGATACACAGTGACATCCTTACCTGGGTCACCTTGAGAGGAACAACTGATCCCCTCCTACACCCGTTGTACCTGTGGGACTGTCGCAAGGGCCCTTCCCAGCCATGGCGAAAGCCTGCTCCCTCCAGAGAAGAGTTCCAAACCCAGCACCACAGGATGTGGTCAGGCTTCCAGCAACAACTAGTGAGAACCAGCCAACCAGCCAAAAGAGCTCCACCCTCCTCTCAATTTACTATGAAAATCGCAAACTAAATGAACCAAACTAATTTGCATGTAATTCACTCCATCCATCGCAGGCCCATGTGGGAGTCACCCTGCAGAGACAGGCCCACGCACAGGCATCCTTAACCCGAGAGCGACATTTGCCTTTGCTGTGGAAATCACTGAACTGACTCGTGCGTCTCACTGAGCAGGTCGGCAGCAGGGTCACAGGGCCAGGCTGCATCAAACACGGCTCAAACAGACTCCCTGGCTGGCTGACGTTACAGAACAAGACGTAGGGATACTTCTCGGGAAAGGCCAGTCTCCACTTACCATTTGTATAAGGGTTGACGGTCTTTTTATTTGTCATTACACGTGCTGTGGCATTATTTACCTATGTACATAGAAAACTCCAATGAACAAATATTCCAGGGCCAGCCCACAATCCCATTAGTTGCATGCATTATGACTGTGACTACTTATTAAAAAAAAACTAAAATGCATTTTAATTTATAAAAGGCAGTAGGTGCATAACAAAATCATACATTTTTATAATTACATTTACTTCATAACCATTTTAACTTACAAATCATTTCAATAAAGCAATGTCATATCATTTAAAAGTTTAATAAAGAGACAGTAAAAGCAAATTAAAAGATACTGCATAATTGAAGATTTAAAAGCATGCGTGTACTCCATGGTAACACAGAAACAATAAATATATTTTAAACATAAAGTTCATATGAAAGAACATGCAGTGGAGTAGAAGAGAGAAGAGACAAGGTACACGGGAACATAAATGTCAAAAAAAAAGGGGAGGGACAAACAATTTTAGCCGTGTGCAACACTTTGGGAGGGAAGGACCATCAGGAAGCAACATCTAGCATTCAACACTGGGAACAAGAGCCTTTGTCATCGCAAGAATTAACAAGTCATTCAAGCTTTAAAGTCACAGCTAACAAAAGGATAAAAGAGAGGGTGCATTGTTTAACACAATATGGAGTTAACGATCTGAGTAAGATGTGCACCGGTCATAACTCAATCCAGTCAGTGCCTCCCAGGCTAGCTTAGAACGTACACTCAGTTACAGGCGTACCAATATCCAAGAAAGTAGAGCATCAAGAAAACTTAATACAACAAGTCAAAAAAATTCACGTGGTAGATATAGATATATGTAGAGAGAGATCAGCACTAAATACGTGAAACGGCAGATGGGCTTCACCACTTACCATTCACCACCATCGCCAGCATGGCTTTGTGTACAGTTACCATGGTTACTGAGAGTTTGGTGAGGGGCCTAAGCGTTACCGTCGAAGGGGGAAAATGAAAGGCAAAATATGCAACATCTTACTCCAAGGACTACAGCATTTTTAACTGGTTTTTTTTTTTTTTAAGTTTTAACAAATATGACCCTGTGTCTATGTTGAGGGAGATCCCAGTGGTACAAAGAACAGATTCTGAGCGTTAGAATTTTGGTCTTTATGTTTTTATGAGCAAGGGTCAGATATTGAACAGGAAATCCTGTTTGCTCATTTACAGAATCATCCAAAAACTGCAAACTTTCAAACTGGCTTCTCTTAAAAAAAAAAAAAAATGAAAGGTTTACTGATAAAGACCTCTCATTTTTTTTTTTTTTAAACAAATCCATCCAATGCTACTTCTTTCACAATTTGCTTGAATTTGAAAACCACTGCGGATCCCTCTTCAACCCTGAAGTGGAAAGATAAAGAAGCTGCTCTCCTGCATTTGGCTAGCTTTGTTAACACTGTCTACTCTTTGGAAACCTACTGCACCCAGTGATCATAAAACATGGAAAATAAAAGAACAAAAACAACTTTCCAATTAACCTTTCTTCTGTCTCACGTTTGCCATCCACCTTTCAAACCAGTAATAAGAATAACGTAACAAAGTAAAATTAAAAAAAAAAAAGTAAGGCCATTTTTCCTTTTTATATATAAATATAAGTATATATATGTATATATAAACAATGAGAAGGGAATAGGGTCACATACAAGACGCCAATGATGCACCTGGAACAACGAATGAGCGTGAAGCAGACACTTATCAAAAAGAGGAAAAGGAAAATATTTTGAACATGCACCTCGATTTTACGGCCCTCTACCACGGTGCCGTGTAATTTCTCCCTCGCCCTGTCCGCATCGGCACTATTTTCGAAAGTTACGAAACCAAATCCCTGCATGCAGGAGGGAGAAGGGAAAACAACATGCAGATTATTATTTCAGTCCACGACCACTTGGCAACGTTCTCTCGCTTTAATTTCTATTTCTTGTCCTGGCTTCGGTTCTGTAACATGCAAATTAGAGAAATTATAAGAGTACTAAGATGTGCAATAATTAAGCGACAAATGTGAACAAGATTTTTTTTCTGTCACCAGTTAGCTGTAACCCCTGAAGAATTCAAAGAATGATACCAAAAATACCTTTCTAAATGTCACTACAGAAGAAAATAAATCTAACGAAAAGAAAATGAGATCAAAATAAATTTACAGTGTCTTCACAGAGAATAAAACGAAATAACAAGAAAAAAAGGGAACCACTTTCTTGACATGCAAATTAAAAATAAAATAAAATAAAACGTGTGCACAAAATTCAACAATGAATGCCAGAATCATCTAATATTGCCTACAGAGTCATGCCATGTGGTTTTAAGAACATCTCTCCTTCATGCAATTTTAGGGTTACTCAGATTTGTCAATTCTACAGCCTTTACTTCTCAAAAAATAAAAATTAAAAGCCTAAAAAAAGGAAAGACCTTTTTTTATAATAAATCTGAAAAACTCTTTGATCTAATAAACAAAAAAACATATGAAATGAATAGAAATAAACTTCAGTTGATTAATAATGCAAACAATTCAAGTAATGTTTTTGTCGTCATTCTTTCCCACCCCACAAACTGCACACATGCTTATGAACTGGACAACTTCCCACCCTACTTCATCAACTTAAAGGGAACTGAAAACGAATCCTATGCTGGTATTTGATTGCCATATCGACAGGGAGCAACGTAATGAAATTTCGTTATTAGAAAGTCATTATAGTAATACTGAGCACTTTCTCCTTTAGTCACATAACAAATACCCCTTGATTTTAGCATTTTTACATTGTACTTCTAATATTTCAGTCTCAACAAACCCCACTCAACCCCCTAGTGACAAATTTCATCATCTGTCTTCACTGACTTTGTTCCTAAGAGGAGCATAGAAAATACGACATTTTCAAAAACCCCTAAAATATGTGTGTATCTTGTTCAGAAATATACACCAACCTTTTGAACCATTCCAATGTAAATACCCAGCCTCTTCGGGTTCTCACAAAGCTGAGTGAAATATGCAGTAGGTTAGACTCCTGTTTGCACTGCGTAATACTTACATAAACGTGCAGACGGCACTCAGGCTAGTTAGGGATGGTATGATCTTCATTTTTACTCATTAAATACCCAGTCATTACCTAGTAAGTGCTAGGAATAACCAACTGGTGTTACCTCCCATTTCCACATTGGATTTCTACAGTGATCTCCAAAGTGGATACTTGGGCTGGCCAACAGACAATGTTCCAACAGCACAGATGGGCTCAGCCCTTGAAGACATGGGCTGTGGGTATAGCAAGTGAGGGCAAACAATCATTTGTCAGGACTCTATACAGAGAGAAAACGTTAAGGTCTCTACTTTGGAGCCTTGGTCTGAATTACCTATCATAATCTTTCTCACAAGGGGTTACGATTACGATGCACCTACTTGATGAATCTAGGACTGCATACTCCACATCAGTTATGCTTAGTCTTTATACACTTGTATCCATTTGGGGCACTCACATACAACTGCTAACCGAATACTTTGGAATAATAGCTCTTCAAAGGGGAAAAGCCAGATTTTTGGATTTTCCTCTATTATATAGCTCTATCTTCTTTCTGGTCAGTGTGTTCCAAACCTGGCTGCATTTAAGAAGGAACTGGAGGGCACTTTAAATATTGAGATTCACATGGGCTTTGCTGCATATCTGCTGGGTCAGAATCCTGGAGTAGAGCCCAGAAATTTGCAAAAAAAAAAAAAAAAAAGAAAAAAAAAGAAAAAGAAAAAAAAAAAAAGAAAAAAAAAAACTGAACTATGTGGCCCGGCAATGGGATATCCATGATCTGTGATACCGTTATGCACCGTCAAAAGCAAGCTCCCAGTATTCTGGAATAAAAGAATCTTTCCATTTCTGGTTTCCATGGGCTAATCCACAGAGCAGAGAGAGAATGCGTGGAGGATGGCCAGCTGACGGAGACGGCCCCAGTCACACGTCTGAGGCTTCTTAGCGATGTTCTCTTCCTCCCAGATCAGCCTAACTCCCTAGCATCAGTAGTCCTGCCATGTATTTAAGAGGTCGTAAGAGAAATGAGGACTCTGAATTTATATTAGCTCATCAGGCAAGAAAAGAGAGGGCACAGCCCCAGGCTAACAGATGGAGAACTGAGTGACACCATTGCTGTCTGTGGAGATGGCAGCCATAAACACTACTGCACAGCAAGCGTGTAGTCAGGTGAGGCTAAGCACCCAGCCCCAAGCCCGGTACTGTCCTAAAAGCATCTTGTTCTTCACTTCTGAAGCCAAGGCAAGCCTACTAGACTGAAACTAGCATTGTGTATGTCAAGCACAGTGGAAGAGAAGGAGCTGTACTTTGAATCCCAAGGGACACTCCTAAACTACAATGTAAACACCTACTCTATTCTTAAGTTCTTACATTGCTTTTGTAAAGGGAACCTACTGCTTATTCCAACAAATATTATCACTGTTTCTGATAGGCTTCTCTCCTTTTTTCAGTGGCTCAGTACTTCTCATTTCAAGCTGTTGGGATGACTATTTGAGATTCAGCAAAGTTGGAGTCAAAAGAGCCTGCTCTAGTAACAATTCTCAGACAATCAATTAGCTTTTCCTACAGGTTCCATCAGATAATTCTATCTCCCACCCACATGAGAAGTCACATGGTCTCCCTGATCCTAATTCTCATCTGGAGAGTTTTCCCTGACTGGAGAGATGCTGCCCTAGCCTTTCCGTTATCAGGGACCCCCCATATCACAGCAGGTGCGCAGCCTGCCTTCTGGTCAGAATTCCATCTAACCAAGTGGCAACTCTCAGTCCTTTAGGAGACTATAGTTTTATCTACACCTTAAAAAGGAGATCAAAATAAGCATATTCTCTCTCACCTTTGAGGAGCACAGGGTCTGGATGAGAGCTGATATGTCAATGCCTTAAAAACCAAGAGTGCAAGAAAAGCCACACAGAAATGAATCAGGTACCTGTGGACTGGTGGATAAGAGACACCTGCCCAGAGTTTACCTGATGGAGCAGCAGAGCTGAGAAGAGGTACAATGCCACCAGAAAAGAGACATGAGTGGCTCTCCTGTCCTATGATGGATGACGAGATAAAGGCATCATTAACAAGGACTGTAAGCTGGACCGCCGGACCCGCTTCAATTGCTGACTTTAACATCTTCCTTTCAGGTTCTGACCTTCTTGTATCCTAGTTATTTGATCTTTTTGGTCTTTCATATTTGTAGGTGGTAACTTTCTTCTCTTAGATTCAATACATTGATTGCTTTATGTTTTAAACACCATCTCAGGTCCACCATGAAAGGATGAATGCCTTGGGGCCAGTGGCATCAGGGTGGGTAAAGTCTCCGCCTACAGTACCAGCATCCCATATGGGCACCGTCCCATATGGGTGGCGTTTTAAGTCCCAGCTGCTCCACTTCTGATCCAGCTCTCTGCTATGGCCTGGGAAAGCAGAGGAAGATGGCCCAAGTGCTTGGGTCTCTGCACCCGTGTGGGAGACCCAAAAGAAGCTCCTGGCTCCTGTCTTCCGATTGGCCCAGCTCCAGCCCCTGTGGCCATTTGGGGAGTGAATCAGTGAATCTTTCAAATAAATAAATAAATAACTCTTTAAAAAATAGAAAGGATGACAGCTGGAAGCATCAGGCAGGTAACTCATATTTCAAAGCAGGAACCTGTTGAGTCATCCTTACACAGTGCCAAGTAACTGGCCTCGGGGTCTGTTCCAGAGAGGAGAAACTGGTGCAAGGTGAGTTCCTGGCTTTCACGGGCCCATCCCGGTCCTGGCTGCCTCTCCAGTACCAAATGACAGAAACAAGGTCATAACCACAGTTCAGATTTCTCAACCACGGAAATGGAACTATTCCGCTAATGAGGCCTTTTCCTCATAAAGGGTCATCCCCAACATGGACAGTACGCCCAGGAAGGCTGCTGCCCCCACTGAGCAGTTCCCGCCTCCAGGACGTCCAGCCGAACCCGACCAGCCAGCTCCAGCACCTGCACGAGCAAACTTCCATCAGAGGGACTGGGACCCACCGAGAGAGTCTGTTCTCGATACTTCCTAATCCCAAAGACAAAAACCAACTTAACAAAGTGAGGCTCTGGATGCAGCAAACTTAAATGGACTTTTTCCTCAAGCCCCCCAGAGACGGGCTAATCATGGGAATGACGGAAGGAGGCTTAAAAATAGCATCACCATTGTACGTTCGAAATAGCAAACAAGACTCATCCAATGCCCCCAGAAACGGCTCTCAACAGGAATTAAACAGCTTTCTTCAACTGGCCAAAGTTACCAAACAAAATACAAATTAACACAAACAAATGCACAACATATCTTTGGAGGCAGTGGTGCTACAGAGGGAGACAGACTCAGCACAAAACTGGCCAAAACTCCAGGTCAATTTCCACAACTGTGCTAAGACTTCATCCAGCCGGAGTGGAAAGGGTTTGCTTTGAGCACATTTTTCTCTCAGCGCTGCTTGCTCTGCAGTATAGAAATCGTCTCTGTAATGATTTTCATACAAGCAGCAGCAGAAGAGTTAACTCATTTCTGCCCCAGCCTAGAGGTCAAACTACGGACATATTACAAGAATGACTGTCAAATATCTAAGTTATAGAAGGTTCACAAGGTGGCTGAATGAGCAAAACCACAGAGTATAATGGATTGATTTTTTTTTATCCATCTGTCAGATCACAATATCATTTTGTCTATAGGAGAGAGAATACTGGAATTTTCTTCCCTCAATTCGAGCAACATCGTCCTCTTGAGTTAATCGTAAACCTACTTAGGAGGGAGGCAGGTGCAGACTGTGGAAGGAAAGATAAATGCAAATATTTGATTCATGGGGAAGAGGAGGTCACAGACCCAGGGGAGCTGGCACCATGGCCTGTGACACATTAGGCGACACCAGCAGTGCCTGGGAGCCCTCCTGAACCCCGACGCATCCCAAGCTGCTTGTGTCATGGAAGTCTTGTGGCCCAGATCAGTACCTCCTTGGACCTGGTGAGCAATTTCTCTCTATCCCTGCCTTTACAGTCTGATCAGGCAAGCAGACGGGAACTTCACATTCCTGACCGTCTTGGGCAGAAGACAGAGCCTTCCAAAGTGTTCACCACCAAGTTGCAAAGGCCATCGCCCCATCCCTTTCCAGCATTGCTCCCTGTTGTCACTCAGCTTCTGCACACAGGCCCAAAGCTCTGTTTTCAAGAGAGATTAGGGGAGCCGGCACCGTGGTGTAGTGTGCTAAGACTCTGCCTGCAGCGCCGGCCCCCCATACGGACACCGGTTCATGTTCCCGCTACTCCTCTTCAGATCCAGCTCTCTCCTACGGCCTGGGAAAGCAGTGGAAGATGACCCAAGTGCTTGGGCCCCTGCACCTGCATGGGATACCCAGAGGAAGCTCCTGCTCCTGGCTTCGGATGGGCCCAGCTCCAGCCACTGCGGCCATTTGGGGAGTGAACCAGGGGATGGAAGACCTTTCTCTCCGTCTATAGCTCTACCTCTCAAATACATAAAGAAAAACACACAGAGAGAATTTGATGAGGCTGTTGCATTTTCTGTGGGTACAGGAGTATGAGGACAGGGGTAGTCTGTCCTCAGGGGCAGGCCTGGTACTTGTCTACAATGCAGACATGGTGTGTGAAGACGCAGATGGCTGGGTCCCGGGTTATTAGTTTCTGATTCAGGAGGTCTGGGGCACTTGAAACCGTGCATTTCTACATTTCTAACAAGTACTGGGATGAGGCTGATGCAACTAGGCCAGGACCACACTGACAGAACCCTGACACACAGGAGGTTTTTGTCCCCCTTTCCCACCGGATTTCTATCCTGAAGCTATGGGATTCCTTCCAGACAGTGCCTCACTTTTCCCAGCACTTCAGCTTGGGAAAATCTGTTTACAATTTGGTTTCCTAAACCAACCAACTTGCAGCAAGGCAAATTTCCAAACGAGGCTGGGTAAACATACTAAGGAATAAAGTCACATTCAAAAGGTTGGTGTATACAAATCTTCTCCCCTGCAACCCAGGAAAAGAACTGCACTTTATTAATACAGAATAATCTCATATTTACCTGCTCTTCAGACTATCAACTCACTTTTTAATATAAAGAACATAATTATCACTGAAAAACAAAAAATGTAGCAACATCATTATTTTTTTAAGCATGGGTAATTTTCCTCTGGAAGCTTGCATATATATTATGTTTATATATGTAGCAAAATCCCAGGAATTTTAAATGACCCCCTAGACATTCTTAAATGAGCCCCGTGTGTTTCCCAGCATTTTGGAAACTGGAGGCAGTGCCTGCGTGCACTCCCAGGGGAGTGTGTTTCACAAGGCGCTCATTCAAACAGTGCAGTTGTTTCCCTATCCACAGCCAACACGTTACAGAAGCTACGCAACTCTAAGGTGAATTAAGTGGCTTACCTTTGAGCCTCGCTCATTAAAAATAATTTCAACATCTAAGATTTTACCAAATTGCTGCAAAGAAACAGAAATATCTTATAAGCAAGCAGAGAATGGACATACATCACACTAGAATACTGGTCATTGTTCTCCAAGTCAGAATTGTCCTTTGATATCAAGGAAATATCTTTTATGTTCTGCCCTTGCTAAGAGGTGTGCTGCAAACAGGACAATAACACAAACACATGTCTTTTCTGCTTGTTGTGGATTAACCCATCATGTGACACGCACTGTCAAAGGTCAGGTGGAAAATATTAATCAGGGAGTTGATTCTATGTTCCTTTCTTTATGTGTGCACGATTGCTTTCCCAGGCACCGAGCAGCCAAGATTACAAATGGTTAGTGTACACAGGGAGCCTCCTGCACTGGTCTACCAGCTACTGGGAGAAACACCCTCGACAAGGTGGGCGTCCACTGAGAATATGATGCTGAGGGTCTGGTCAGCAGCAGCCAGACCACGGGAGACAAGCAAATGACACAGAAGCAGGTTCCACTATCCAGACACCCGTCATCGAATTCGAGGTCTCAGAAATCTCTCAGGATGTGTCTCTGTGTTGTTCAAGAAACAATCTGTAGACAGTGACGGTGAATAGGCTCTGTAAAAACTGCAAAGTTTTAGATGATAAATAAACTGGATAGACAAATACAATACAGACACCCAGTTAAACACACATATCAGATTTTTCAGGCTAAGTCCACACCATGCAAAATCTGGGACACATTTATACATCGTACAATATTTTCTGTTTATCTGAAACTCAGATTTAATGAATCCTTTTTTCTTTTCTGTTAAAACTGGCAGGCCTGGTGAGAAACACACTTCTAGTAATTCCTAATTCACACCTTAAAAAACAGAGCATGGGCTCTGAAACTCAATGTCTGAGTAATCCAAAACCCGTCCCCGGGCTGGGGAACCCTTTTAATTTTCTTGGGTCTCGGGCAGCAGAGTGGGGATTTTATGAGCGTGGTGTGCACGGCCTAAGTGCAGGTGGCAGGAGGTGATGACAACTGTGCCAAGTGGCTGGGCAGGAATAAGATGGGAATGTCTTCTCAATGAAAAATGACAGCTGATGCTCATTTTAGTGCTTAAAAAATGGAACAGCGTCAGGAAACATTTCCATCTCTTGTGCACTTTATTTTGAGCTTCTCTGTTGCTCCATTGGCTTTTGGATTCCGAATTTTAATGCTTTCTTGATCGCCACAGGACTTCTGCCTCTCTCCCTTGGGCGGGAAGCAGAGGAAAGAGAGGGTGACTAGGACAAGGCCTGGGTGGGACAGAAAGAGAACTCACAGAACAGAGAGACATGGGAGGGAAAGAGGTGTGGGTGAGCCATCTGAGCACCTTGTTCAGTCACAGAAAGCTGGGAGACCAGAGAGCTGAAGTCAAGAGGTTCCTACTAGCATTCGAGAAAAAAAAAAATGGGAACATACGGAGGCTATCCTCTGGAACATAAAAAGAAATCCACCTTCCTTGGAAACATCAAAAATAGGCATATGCCAATTGCACAGAAACAGCCCCAAACCATGCAACGTAATGCTTCTGACAAGGGGTAAAGTTCTGACTATGGGATAAAGCAACCCAGAGCTTTGAGCCCCAGGACACTCACTCCTCAGGATGTGCACCCTGCAAGGGCAAGAGCACACACACTCGCATTTTACTTCCTTGTCAAACAAAAGTGGTTTATCTCACAGTGAAGTAGATGGCAGCTCAGCCAGAGAGCGGACATATTGCTGCCATGGACCACAGAAACAGGAGTGAGCAGGCAGCTACCACACTCTGCAATTTGTAGGCACCCAGCTATTCCTTTGGTCAAGAGAATATTCTTTTACAGAGCCCTGGTTTCGGGCATTGAAAAATCACTTAAGAAAGAAGAAGAAAACTTTCAGATTTGGGTAAGGGAGGGCTTGCTGTTCCAAGATGAGCTGCATTTCCTAAGACTCCTCCAACTCTGTGCACTCCTCAGAAGCACAACTTGGATATATCCATCTCAGACGGTCCATGCAGGAGCTGTTGTGTTTATTTCAGGCATAAGGACCTAGAGGCACAATGTGTATTCATGGAAGGATTCGCTGCAGGGGGATTCTTCCAAACCCACAAAGCCAATGTCATCTATGGGACATTTTCTTGGCAGGGAGTCAACACGCAAACACTTCCTTTAATATAAGATCTGGTTGAGAAAGAACCAATCAGCAAGCAAGGCTGGCATGTGTCATCCCCCAAATGAGACGACGACACCAGATGCCCTGGAACGGCCTCACGTGTTCCCCGCTCTGGCAGTCGACTTGGGGTTGATGGTTCTCAAAGGCGGGGAATGAGTGCCAGAAAAATGCTGATGTCAGCCCCACTTCTGAGACAGTTGTGTGCTGTATTTATAGTATCAACAGTTTAATTGGGAAGTTCGCTCCTAATGGTATAAACACAGCTGGCACATTTTCAATTTAAATAGACACTCTCTCGCAGCCTTAACTAGCATTTGTTTGCTTAACAGCAATGTTCAGTGGTGTTCAACAGTCTCAGATCCACGCAAGGGGTCTCAATGGCTGCATCGAGAACAAAATCCCAAAGCTTAAAGGCACGCACGTGGGCAAATATGTACCAAACATTTTTAGACACTCTCAGATCAAATAATATTTCTCTGAAAAACTGCGAAGGATGCTCAGCGGATACAGCCTAGCACAGCACATGAAAGCGAAGGTTAGTTCCAAGAGTGTGCACAGAGGCTAAGGAAAGGCATCAGCCCAGTTTTTCTTAGGGTCAGCTTCATGTTTGGAATGCAGAAGCAGGAGCACCATGCTGTGTCCTTAAAAATGACTCCACTACTCACATATCACAGTAGATGGATCTGTGCAGTAGCACCGCCTGGAAGTCTATTTTATTTCTAAAAGAAGTCGTCTTGAAAGCTGCGTTTGCATGTGTTTTCCCTGACAGTCAAGAGGGACCAGAGCTACTCCTTTTCCTGCCCCCAAAGGGTCTGTATGTTAAAGAAAGCAAGACTGGGGCCGGCGCCGTGGCTCACTAGGCTAATCCTCCACCTTGCGGCGCCGGCACACCGGGTTCTAGTCCCAGTCGGGGCGCCGGATTCTGTCCCAGTTGCCCCTCTTCCAGGCCAGCTCTCTGCTATGGCCAGGGAGTGCAGTGGAGGATGGCCCAGGTGCTTGGGCCCTGCACCCCATGGGAGACCAGGAAAAGCACCTGGCTCCTGGCTCCTGCCATCGGATCAGCGCAGCGCGCCGGCCGCGGCGGCCATTGGAGGGTGAACCAATGGCAAAGGAAGACCTTTCTCTCTGTCTCTCTCTCTCACTGTCCACTCTGCCTGTCAAAAAAAAAAAAAAAAAAAAGCAAGACTGTGCATCAACAAGGGTACTGCACAAGAGACTGAGCGCTGTGCAGCAGTTGTTTCTGGAAGCAAGTCCATGGGCTGTGTGTCCTACCAGAGATCTGGGAATGTTACAATCCACTTACATAGCCCATAACCCAGAGGTATTTTAACTACCGGGTTAAGTTAAGTATTATATTCAGGAGCCGTATACTGCAACTAATTTGGTGGGAATCCATGCATGCTCCTCATGGCGCCATCAAGAGTTGGAACGCAAAGGAGACATGCACTTGTGCTCGGTTCCTTTCACAAAAACAGAGACTGAACGAAAGCAGTTCTCACAAGATTTTTTTTTTAAACAAGGCTCTGGCTTCTGCTTTTCATATGGTAGCTGCCTGACTTCTTCCTCATGGACTGTTTGTTCTACCTTAAAGTAAAGAAAGAAAAAAAGAGGCCGGAGCCATGGCTCACTAGGCTAATCCTCCGCCTGGCGGCGCCGGCACACCAGGTTCTAGTCCCGGTCGGGGCGCCGGATTCTGTCCCGGTTGCCCCTCTTCCAGGCCAGCTCTCTGCTGTGGCCAGGGAGTGCAGTGGAGGATGGCCCAAGTGCTTGGGCCCTGCACCCCATGGGAGACCAGGAGAAGCACCTGGCTCCTGCCATCGGATCAGCGCGGTGCGCTGGCCACCGCGCGGTGCCCTGGCCACCGCGTGGTGCCCATTGGAGGGTGAACCAATGGCAAAGGAAGACCTTTCTCTCTCTCTCTCTCTCTCACTGTCCACTCTGCCTGTCCAAAAAAAAAAAAAAAAAAGAAAGAAAGAAAGAAATCTAAGATGAGCTAAAAAACGTATCACCAAACACTGGAATAAATGCTTCCCAACGAAGAAGCTGCAAAGAAAACAAAGTGTGTGTGGGGAGAGGTAACCAGATTTGCAATCCTAGTGGAAAAATGGTAAAGCCACATTGAAAAATAAAATACAAAAACAGCAGTAAAAAATGCACTTGCCATCACCATTAGGCAAGCGACAGCTGCAAACGCTGTACAGGACTTACTCATGGTTAGAGAAGTTCCTAGGAAGCTTCTGGTAATGAGGAAAGGGAGGTTACTGTTGTATCTTGGTTTTGCTTTTGACTTTGAAATTCCTGTGACTTTCTCTTGACAAAGGAGGCACAGGGAAACAAAGCCACAGAGATCCTTGTGTTTTTCTCCATAATCATCCTCATTGGAACCTTGGCCAAAGAGAGGGAACAAAGACAGAGAAGCATAACAAAGCAGAGAAGTCCTCTCAGGTCCACGGGATGCGAGGAACACCTAACTGGGGTGAAAATGCATTTTCTTGCCATAACCATGACCTGAAAGAGAACATTCCCTCAACTCCAGTGTGGGGAGCCAATCACACTGCTTCAATGCGCTAAGCGCACCCAATGTATCCTACAACAAAAATGCCTTTGCAACCACCACTGTTTGGCCAGAACATTTTTAATGTTTAAATCCCATTACTTTAGATGATGGTTGTAAACCAAGAAGGCGTCACAGTTTTGGCAATCAATCCTCATGTGCTGGGTAATTTTCAAAGAAGAAATTTACACACACACACACACACACACACACAGAAGACACAGATGCTATTTGTGATGAACACAATTCATTTCCGTGTTACTGAATGCTTGCTGCATTTTCTTAATTGGTATCATCTTTCCAAATGGGCACCTTAGCGGTTGCTTGAAAACCATAACTTTCACCAAAAAAGTGGCTCTGAAGTCAGCTGATTTTGGTCACGGGTTGATAAGAGTCACTATATTTGGAAAAATCTTGCCCTGTGCCATCTGTCCCACCCCTGTGAGAACAGAGAGATTCAGATATAAAATGCATGCAGGACCCCTTCTCTATGATCTGTAGCTGTGGCTATTTTTTTTTTTTTTTGGACAGGCAGAGTGGACAGTGAGAGAGAGAGAGAGAAAGGTCTTCCTTTGCCGTTGGTTCACCCTCCAATGGCCGCTGAGGCCGGCATGCTGCGGCCGGCGCACCGCACTGATCTGATGGCAGGAGCCAGGTACTTATCCTGGTCTCCCACGGGGTGCAGGGCCCAAGCACTTGGGCCATCCTCCACTGCACTCCTGGGCCACAGCAGAGAGCTGGCCTGGAAGAGGGGCAACCGGGACAGAATCCGGCGCCCCGACCGGGACTAGAACCCGGTGTGCTGGCACCACAAGGCGGAGGATTAGCCTAGTGAGCCACGGCGCCGGCCAGCTGTGGCTATTTTAATGCCACTCTGACTTAGCTGTGTAGCCTCAGGTAACTTTCAGGACAACCGAGAGGACCAGGGAGGAAAGAGCTCTCCTAGGGTGATGCAACTCAATGAGGGGCCTCATGAAGGAGCACCGGGATGGCCACTACTGCACCAGACGCAAAGCCAACACCTGCGGAACACCGGATGAGACGGACTCAGAAGCAACATAGCTGCCTAAGCTGACATGGCAAAGAGAAGATAACTCCTCTGGCTGCCTATCATTCCAACCTGGTCTCGCTGCTTTACACACACTTAACCTCGCCTCTACCTTTGCATGCTCTGCACTTTTCAAAGTCATCTTTGACCTGAGAGTGCCCGAGGGTACCTCGGTTCTGCAGGAGTTAGAGGGCTCAACGCAAGGTTATTACCAAATGAGAGAGATGAAAGTGCAGAAGCTGACCTTTTCCTCCGAAATGTCAGGATTCCAGCCTGGGTATCCTGAACATTAGGATGCTTGCGCTGCTTTGCTGTCAGATGCATACTCAATCAGCATCATGTGTGTCAGAAAGACGAAAGGTGCAAGCTAACCCCCAGATCGCAGGGCCCTTGGGCAGTGACCTCCTTCTTTCCTTTGGGGAATGACATCAACAGTGCCCAGAATAAGGCATTCCCCTTGAGAGTCCTTTTATTCCTTTTGTAATATTTGCCTCCACCCATAAACTCTTGGAAGAAGAGTCCCCAAGCAGCTCACCTTTGCTCTGACCCAATTGTTAAGGACGTAGTTCTTTTCACTGACTCAGAGACACCTGCCATTGCTGGGATGCCATGCACATCACACACACACACATGCACACACACACACACACACGATGGCTGCATTCACACAAACGAGTGGTAAGCAAGCCCTCTCACAGCTTCGTCCTTTAGTGGAACGGAGATCAAAGGAACGGCCAACTTCTCCCTTCCCAGGGAGGATAACGCAGACACTTTCTGGGAAAGGAATCGGGGTCAGATGCTATCATTCATTTTCTTGGGACGAGTGTCAGCTTTGGGTCTGGTTCTGGCTGTGTCTCCCTGGGGTGCCTAGGCAGGGCTGTGCTTCGTGGCATCTCTTTTCACGGAGCCCATCAGAACCTGCACTGCAGGGATCAAGTGAGACTTCAGAAAGGGTTTTTACTTTTGGTGCTGCTTGTTTTTATTCTGAACCCATCCGCTGGCAGAAATAGTTACTCCCTGCAAGTGCACCTGAAATCTCACTGCACGGTGCCTGGGAAAGAGCTGGGAGTGTGGGAAGATGTCACGACTCACTCTTCCAGCCGTCCTGGCTGCTGCAGCTACACTGACACTGTTTCTATCAGCTGGCACCTGGGCTCTCAGACCACAGAGGCTGCGTTTCAACAGTGTGTACACCAGCAGTGTGTTCTCTCGGACATTCAAATTCACTTACTAGCAGAAGACCATTTGGCAAGGTGAAGACGTGAACACAGACAATGCAACTTCTCCCCAAACCAAAACGAGACCCCAGCCCAGTACATCCACAGGCCAGGCTTTAAAATGCCTTTTCCCGATGTACGGCTCTTGCCTTAACACTGCGAATCCCATGAATTTACACGAGGACAAGTTAGCTCGAAGGACCCCAGGCCGGGCAGTGCAGAGGGGAAAGGCGCTACTTACACCAAACATTTGTCGGAGGTCTGGATCCCGGAAGCGGAAGGGGATGTTAGAGACATGCAGCCGCTTGGGCTGGGACTTGTTTTCCGTGTTTTCTGAAGGCTGGGTCTGGGGCTGGCCGTCCGTCGGTGCTGCGTCATCTGTCTGCTAAAAGAACAAGAGGAAAGCAAAGTGGCTCTGAGTAGACCCGAACACTCGGTTTCAAGGGCAGGAAAATTCCGGAACAAAGGCAGGAGGCACGAGAAGGAACTGTCGAGTCACTTGGTCATTCATTCATTCATTCCACAAGGTTATTTTTTTTTTCAACTTTTATTTAATAAATTTCCAAAGTACAACTTTTGAATTATAGTCGCTTTCCCCCATAACCTCCTTCCCACCTGCAACCATCCCATCTCCTGCTCCCTCTCCCATTCCATTCTTCATCATGATTCATTTTCAATTATCTTTATATACAGAAGATCAGCTTAGTATATATTAAGTAAAGATCTTGGTACCTCTCACGAAACTGGGGTTCAGCACTGAGCGCTAACTGACAAAAATCCCTTTCCTCATGGAGCAAGACTGTCACAAGGAAAGGCATAGATTTTTTTTTTTTTTTAAATTTTTGAAAGGCAGAGTGGACAGTGAGAGAGAGAGACAGAGAGAAAGGTCTTCCTTTGCCGTTGGTTCACCCTCCAATGGCCGCCGCGCTGTGGCTGGCGCACCGTGCTGATCCAATGGCAGGAGCCAGGTGCTTCTCCTGGTCTCCCATGGGGTGCAGGGCCCAAGGACCTGGGCCATCCTCCACTGCACTCCCTGGCCACAGCAGAGAGCTGGCCTGGAAGAGGGGCAACCGGGACAGAATCCGGCGCCCCGACCGGGACTAGAACCTGGTGTGCCGGCGCCGCAAGGCGGAGGATTAGCCTGTTGAGCCACGGCGCCGGCGGAAAGGCATAGTTTTGAGCCCAGCAATAAACAAGGAATATAATTGAAAGAAAACGATGGAGAGAATAAATCCAGGCCAGAGAGCCTAGAGGTCCTGGGGCTGTGGCGTGCCAACCACACCAGGAAGAGGGCAAGCATCCTTAAAGGTAACACAGGGCATGTTCCTCAGCTGATGGGAATCGTAGGAGATGCCCACATAATTTTTGAGGCTGCACAGAACAAGTATTTTACAACGCAGTAAGAAATGAGAAGGCTTTTTGGCTCTCGTTAGTCCAAGTAATTAGCTAAGCGCTATTTTTGTTTTTATGGTTTTCACTTTTCGTTTCTTAATTGTCCAGAGCTGTTATGTTCGTGACACTTGACCACACCTGGCTGTTTGCATTTAAACGACTTAAAATTAAATCAAATACAAAGTTTGGCTTCCATTTGCTGCATTTTGAGTTTGTAGTTAGTTCATCACCACAAAAAATTCCACTGGGCTCTTGGCATAGACAACGTAACATCATTAGCCTAACTCATTCCTCTCCCCAGCATCCCGCCCGCTCAAGATACACACAAGCAGTCCAGACACTGTGATAGTAGACTGACTTCCAGAAACACTCGGGCTGCAGGAGAAAAGTTACCGCAACATCCCGCGTCACCATGGCCATTGCTTCAGATGCTCTTTTCAAATACTTTCTCTGCAATTAGCATATGCTGCCTCTAGGTGGCGATAGATGCGTCCAGTTCACAATCCCGCTTCTTCGAAACTATGACGGAGATCCCGTGTCCAAGCCCGTTCAAGTCAAGAGCAAGGGCTGCCCCTCACCTACTTATAGACAAATTTTGTCTATATTGTGCACAGACAACCTACTGTCCATATATGTGTAGAGGCCAACTTAGAAATAAATACGTGACTGGAGCCAAACTATCCATGCAAGCAGTCAGATGTCAATCCATTAAGACGAGCAGGAGATGATCTCAAAGGTGGGATATCAAATACTCCAGTAACATGTGCTTCACTGGCACCTTGCTCCTCAACCCTGGTCTCTACTACATGGTGTCGTTGGAATGCTCCTTCCTAACACATCTGTGTTGCACTCGGAAGGCCAGACTTCCTGGTGGCTGCTAGCCTGGCCTTCCAAGCTCATCTGCTATCCAAAGCCCTGCGAGATGACTTTGTCAACTTTCAAGACCACGTCATGATGACAACCACAATGACGTACTGGGTCACGTTGTCTGTGCCGTTGCACTGAACGGGAAGGAAGATGGCGATAGCTCTATTCACTGGAAGATGAGAAACACCTTGTAAGGTTTTATGAAACTGAATGCAATAATGTGCACCACACTGGCGGAGTTCTTGGCACGTAGTATATGTTCAATGAACACAAAGTAATGGATTTTTCAGAGTGATTATCAGTTTCTTTAAAATATTCAATTAAGAGTGAACTGATTTGGGGAAGCATAAAGGAAGGTCCTATTTATTTACTAAGCACATCCCTACTGAGCACCTACTGTGTGCTCGACTCAGAAGTCACATGCGGCTCCCAGTTTAGTGGACCAGAAAGTAGAAGAAGAAGAGAACGGTAATACAGAGTGTCACACACTGCAATGAGACAGTCGAGACACACAGCCCAGCTGGAAGTTCAGCTGGGCTTGGCAGGTCTGCAGTCACCTTCTACGTGGGAGAGGTCACAGGACAGAGCTGACGGCACGGTGTCTGCCAAGACACGGTACAGCAGGTGCAACATGCAGGATGTGCAACGGTGCTCTGGATTCAGGGTGGTACGTCTGGGCTGTAGCGCCCCTCAGTGGTGGGTGGTGGATAGCACGTACAAAGGAAGAATCAGAGAGCACATGACCAGACCCAGGGCCTGGGTGGCTAAGAGCCCTGTGCACAAAGCTATAGGCTCCACCTCACCCTAAAAACTAGGAGGGGCCACTTAAGGCTCCCAGCTGGTGCGAGCAGCACATGGCGTCAGCGCTCCGAAGTCTGTTCAACAGGGGCTGGCTTGCTAACCGAATCAATGAATCATCAGTGCATGGATAAACAAACCAAGACATCAACAATCAACTTTGCTGTCTTCATGGGATACCCCAAGAACAATATGATAACACGCGACCCACACAGAGCAGGATCTACGCTTTCCCTACTGGTAATGTCCATCTGGTTCCATGTCTACCACGGAGCGATGAACTTGAATGACCAGACCACCACTTTTGATGGGGATTGGGGTTTTACTACGGTGCCACAAGCCTCTAGGTTTGTAGAAGCAGCAGCTAAGGAACCCACTTCTGGCACATTTTTCCATCCTGTTAGAAGTTGCGGCTGCAATACAGAATCAAAACGAGCTCCCTCCCACCCCCAAGAAGGAGACTTAGACTCGGATTTGTGCACAACTGTTGGATGTTTCAGTTTAATAAACCTAATTAGGAATTACAGAGATTATGATTAAACATATTAAATGATTAATAGCATTACGCCGCTCATGTGAAAATTAAAATTAATCATCTCTAGTCAAACAGGACTTTGGAGAAATCTCTGTGTTGTTTCTTTTGATAAAAACATACAACGCTCAATTAATCATTTTGTAGTGTGTGTGTATATACAATGCCTGTAAATTGTTATGTAGGAATACCTGTGTGTTAAAAATAATTTTTAAGGAAACACATCAAAAACGTGAACATAAAAGCATTTCTGTCGACTGTGGGTGTGAGGAAAGGGAAGGAGTATTCAGATGCACAGGTTGAGAGGAGATCTCTGTCAAACTGAGCACGCCTGTTTGCATGCTGACGTGGCCTACAGAACCAGGGTTTCTGGACCGCACAGCCCCGCGTGTGAGCCTGTCTCCAGATCTGCTCATGTCAGGCAGGTAACTCTCCCTGTCTGAGCCTCGGCTTCCCTTCTGTAAAAGGCCGGTCATGGACTAGACGGTGACCTCGAGATGGCAGTGAGAACCAAACGCACCAGGAGGGGGAGGAAGCAGTCACTGCGGGGCCTGGTTCTCACGGACTCTCCCAGGCCAGCGAGCTCGGGCTCCTCCCCGCTGTCTGGGAACTCTCGTGGCAAATGCACTCAGACCACGACTGCATTTTGTGCCTCTGGATTAGCATCCTGACACTAACCCGCGGGCTGATGGCAACGGAACTGTCCTCTCTCAAAATCAAGGTGCAGGTGGGGCCACACTCCCTCGGGGGAGACACGGCCCGGCCTCTCTCAGCTTCTGGTGGCTCCGGGTGTTCCAGGGCGTGGGGCTGTGCTGCTCCCTCCTGCCTCTGCCTCCATCTCTGAGCGGCCTGTTCTCTCTGTGTCTCTGACCCCCATCTCCTTCTGCCTCCTTCCTGATAGGGACTGCACCTGCTGGACGTAGCAGAACCAGTCCCCATTCCATGGCGATCTTGTCCTGAGACCCTCATGACCGCTGTCAAGATGTCGTCATTCCTAAGTGAGGTCACATCCATTCAGTTCGTGGAGCTTGGCTTACGGATGTATTGTTGGAAGTCACTTCTCAATCCACTTCAGTCCCCCAGAACACAAACAATTCCAGAGTGCACACAGCAAGAGGGGCTGTGGGCAAGGAACTGACGCATCGTCTTCCGCTGCAGGCAGCATGAAGCTCTCAATGGGAGCTGGCCTCAGACCAGGGCCCTTCCAGGGCCACCTCAGGCTCACCTCATGTGTCAGCAGGGGCCATCTTTTTAAGATTTATTTACTCATTTGAAAGTCAGAGTTACCCAGTGAGAGAAGGAGAGGCAGAGAGAGAGAGAGAGAGAGAGAGTGAGTCAGTCTTCCATCCACTGGTTCACTCCTCAATTGGCCGCAAAGGCCGGAGCTACACCGAAACCGAGCCAAGAGCCACCTCCAGGTCTCCCACATGGGTGCAGGGGCCCAAGGACTTGGGCCATCTTCTACTGCTTTCCCAGGCCACAGCAGAGAGCTGGATCGGAAGGGGAGCAGCCAGGACCCGAACCTGCACCCATATGGGATGCTGAAACTGTAGGCAGCGGCTTAACCCGCTATGCCACAGCACCGGCCCCAGCAGGGTTCATCTTAACCAGGCCCCAAACTCAGAAGCTACTCCCATCTTCCCTTGGTGATTGGCCTAGGCTCCTAACCTGCTTCTCTGTCCTTGGGCCCGGATGCGGCGATGCCCAAGAGGCTCCTGGAAGCTTACGGCAAAGGCCCACAGTGAAATTTCTAAGGAGGAAGAAAACCACCGTAAAGCAACCGTGAAACTTGGAAG